AAATTGATATATATATATATATGTATATATTATAATAAAGTATATATAATAATATACTTTATTATAATAATATAATATAATATAATATACATATTGTATATTATAAATACAATATAAATTGGATTTTATAAATATTTCCACACCTCAAGAGGTGGGGTTTCATTTTACGATGTTTTGGTACCATGGTAAAATATTTGCATAGGCATTTGGAACGAACCAAATGTGTGAAAAACAATTTACATATGTAAACATTTACTTACGAACCAAACGTACCCTTAAAATTAATTTTAAGACCCCCAAATTTAGTGATGTAGCTTATTCATTCCGTATATTTTGGTTATACTAAAAAATTATCTAATTACACCTATGCACTTTAAAAAATAATATCTCGAGGTTGAAAAAAATAATATCTCGAGGTTGACCAAAGACCATCCAATTTTTAAATAGTAAATATCTAAGTGCTAGACAACTGAAATTTCAGATTTTTTCTCTTGAGAACAATCATCTAGTGATTCTTTATTGGTTCTAAAAACTTCTTCCAAAGTAGATCTTTAGTAGCAGAAGTAAATGATACTGCTGAAGGAACATAGTGTACATGCTCAAAATTGAACGCTACTCAGAAGGTGCCTTGTGATAGGAGGGGAAAGTTGCAGGGGCCATGGAACTCTTCCGTGCTATGGAAAACCAAATTTTTTTTGCAGGGTTTTGTTACTTTTTAACACTCTTTTGAATGGGCTATATAAAACCAGTAAGGTGGAAGAAGCCCTGGAGTTGTACAGAGAAATGGGGAAGAGAGGGTTGCGTTTAAATATTGTAATGTGTATCACCCTCATTGATGCCCTTTTCAAGGGTGGGAGAATAGTGGAGGCGGCCAGTTTGGTAGAGGAGACGTACCATAATGGTATGAACCCCGATGTTGTTACTTATACCATTCTTATAAACAGGCTCTGCAAAACCAATAATGTGGAAGGGGCTATGAAATTATACCGAAAAATGGGGAAGACAGTATAATGTACTCATTGATGGCCTCTACAAGGATGGGAGAGTAGAGGGGAAATGGGTTTGTTAGAGGATATGTCCAAAAGTGGCTTGAAACCTAATGTTATTACATATACCACTCTTATAAACAGGTTCTGCAAAATCAACAATGCCAGCAGCGCGTCGGCAGTATCCAGAGAAATGAGGAAAAGAGGGTGTTTCTCAAACATTGTCACATATAACGCACTGATAGATGGTCTTAGCAATGCTGGGAGAAAGGAGGAGGCAGTGGCTTTGTTGGATGAAATGCACCAGAGTGGTCTATACCAAGATGTTGTTACAAATAACACTCTTGTATATGGGCTTTGCAAAGCTCATAAAGTAAAAGGGGCCTTCGTGTTATGCAAAGAAATGAGGAAGAGAGGGTGTTATCCAGATTTATTACGTATAATACGCTCATAGATGGTATTAGCAGAGTGAGAGAGTAGACGAAGCATTGGCTTTGTTAGAGGAGATGTACCATATCGGCATGGATCCAAATGTTGTTACGTATACCACTCTTATTAACATATTCTGTAAAGCCAATAATGTGGAGGAAGCTTTGGCATTATCCAAAAGAATGAGAAAGAGAGGGTGTCAACCAAACATTATCTTTTATAACACACTCATTGATGGTCTTTGTAAGAATGAGAGATTAAAGGTTGTTTTATGACATAAGCCTAGATTCTGTCATGTATAAGTATAACAGGCTCAACAATGCCAATAATGCAGAAGAAGCCTTGGCATCACACAATGATATAGGAAGAAGAGGATGTCCTCCAAACATTGCAACATATAACACACTTATATATGGTCTTTGCAAGAATGGAAGAATGACGGAGCCAATGGAGCTGTTGGACAAGCTGTGTACCACAATGGCGTTAACCCAGATGTTATTATATAAACCACTCTTGTAATCAATCTCTTAAAGGCTGATAGTGTGGAAAGAGCCTTGAAATTATGCAAAGAAATGGAAAAAAGAGGGTGTCACCCTGATATTGTCATGAATAATGCACTCATATATGGCCTTTGCAGGTGTGGGAGTTTGGAAGAAGTGAAGAGTTTGTTAGAGGAGAGATGCCAAAAAGGCTGAATTTAAGATGCCATAGCTTATTATTGAAAAAAAGTAAAATTATGCTCCCACATAATGGTCTTTATGACATAGGTTTAGCTGATGAAGCTGTAAATTTGGTCCTTAGCATGTTCGAAAATGGAATTTTCCCTATACAGGTACAATATTTAATTCATGTTCTCTAGAAGAGTGAATCTTGCCAGAAAGCCACATAAATGTTAAATGGTGATGCATGCTTCGGTCTAACGATATCACATATACGGTGTATGGAGCAGTGGTCATACTGTTGGTTTTCCAGGGGCATTTTTTCCATTGTCTGCATGCTATGTATTATTGTAATCTATTTATTGTAAATAAATACATGTAATTTAATATGGGCTGATCTGTGTATATCAAGATTGAAATTGTAAATACATTTAATTCCACTTCTAGGGATAATGTGATATCTCTCATACACTCTTTAAACCCTTGTCTCCTAAATTTCTGTGCACTATGCTTTACTCTGTTAAATATCTGTTTAAAGATATGGGTCTAAACATGCACTCAAATTGTTGAACGTTATAAAATCGGGATGACAGTTGATTGCACATTTTGTACCATATAGTGTTTTTGCCCAGTCAAAACACTTTTCTTTTTCCCTGGCCCCAAACAGGCTAGGCAGAGCATTATTAAACTCACTCTGCAATCCTTATCTAGGGAGCGGGTGAAGTGGCCAGTGACGTCATCGACCACAGATGAGACCGTAGGACAGTGGCTGATTTGGGACAAGAGAAGGCCCCGGGCCCAAATCTCTGCTGTGTAGCTTTGTTCCATAAGTTTTAGAACAGCCTTGCCCCTGTTCCACAAGTTTTCATGGAATTTTGATCGTGAGCTAAGGGCTGAATGCCACTTTCAGATCCCAACTTATGCGAAATAAAAAAGACATGATAGACATATGGATAACTGAGATATAGTAGGCATAAGAAGCACTAAGACATTGTGCACATGACACTATATCATAAACCATACACCTGGAATTAGCTTGTATAACAGGCTGTTCAACCTGTCCAAATAGGCTGTCAAAACTGTGTAGTATTTTTGAATATCCGATTATACACCTCATTGGACAACTGAAGTTATACTTGGAAGAGTCTATATAAATCACTCTCCTTCTTTCTTGCCTATCAACCAAATCTCTCTATCTCTCTCTATCATTGTTTCTTAATTCTGGAGGGCACCAGGGAACTAAAAGATCTTAGGCCGAAAAGTATGAGATAGTTCCTACAAAATCCTATCCAAAGTGCTTGCCTCGCGCCTGCGACTGGTGCTAACCCATCTCATGTCTCCTATGCAAGTTTGTCCAAGACTGCCAAATTCTGGATGAGGCATTTGTTGCAGCGAGTGCATCCACAACTAGACACCAATCCAAGACAAATGTTCTTGTCCTTAAACTGGATAGGGAAAATGGGTACGATCTTGTCAACTGGGCCATTCTTCGATAAGTGCTACCATTGTTCGCAAAATCGCCCGATCTAACCGCTAACAGCCCAGTTAGATCGGAACCGGCCAGTGGCCGGTTCTGATTTTGGGCGGTTAGGGTGGTCAACCGGTATTTAAAAAAAACAATTCAAAAAAATGTATATAAATTCTCAAAAATAAGGAATTTGATTTGTAATGCATTTTTAAATGTTTTTTACAGTATGGTAAATATTAAAAATTATTTTGGTTATTAATACTCACTTTTATATTTTCCCATCTTTTTTAGAAAATTTAAAAAATAGCCCTTGAAAGATATAAAATGGGTTAAAATCCATTTTTGCATTAATTTTCAACTTCATTTGAATGTATTAATTATTCTTTATATGCTTTTCATATTTTAGTATATTTTTGTTGTATTTTTTTTTATTTTTTTTCAACACATTTTTTATCTCCCGGGACTTGCCCGGTTAGAGCAGTTGAATTGGCTTTACCTATTAGGCTGGTTAAACCGCTTCCATGCCCATGTCCAGTTAACCGTTCCGGTTCGATTTAATGAACACTGTGTGCTACAATCGATGGGCTTCAATAGCATATGGAAGACCTAGATTAAGGGTTCCATCTCCTCCTTGTGGTTCTCAGTTTTAGTCAATGGATCCTCTAAAGGATTCTTCCCCAATTTGAGAGGCCTCTGCCATGGAGACCCTCTATCCCCTTTCTTGTTTACCAATTTTTTTTTTTTTTTCCTTTTTTTGTTGTTTTGAAATAAATTCACTTTCTTGTTTGCCATCTTGGCTGAGGTCTCAAATCTATCTCAAATCTACTTGAAAGCAATCTGGTCCAAGTCCACTGTATTCAGATCACACCCCTAGTTCTTTGTGATGCTAACGCCAACAATTCAAAACCTTTGGCTATTTCTTAGGTGCTTTGAAGTTTTCATGGAGTTCAAGCTAAATTTCGATAGCTGCTCCATGAAACAATCCAGGACTAGCAAGGGTAGGGGATCTATTCCTGGATAGCTCATATCAGACTTTGCTGTAGAAAAGGGATTCCCAAAAGATTATTTCTTTGGCCTCCAAGTTTTCCAATTTCCCAGGAGATAGGAATCCATTTTTACCAAATTTTTTATATCCTGAGGTCTCTACAAGTCACCTTTAAGCACATGTAGAGAGAGGCTAATGCAGGAGCAGGTACATTTGTGAAGGAGTGATCATCAGCCTGCCCGAAATTAATGATAATTTCAACCTGGGCTTTTAAGTGTGGCATTTTCTGTATCATTTTGTGAAAACTGTCCTTAATAGTCACAATTGTATAGGGACAGATCCATGAAGGCTGCTATTAGTTTAATACACTCTTCTAAGTTTCATTCAGAATATATGCAACTACATAACCACATTTGTTAAGACTGTAGCTTTGACAAATTACAATCTCAGGGGAGGAGTTTTCTTGCAATACGTGAAGAATCAGTTGGATAACCATGATTCCTCTATGGAAATTTTAGTGAACTTATCATTGAGTTTGGACATAATAAGCGTATGTAAAGACTGGATAATCATCCTGGTTTCTTCGGCACGAGTTAGCGTGTTTTTTCGTAAGGAACCACATACTTGCCCAAGTCACACTCAACGTGGGTTGTGCGCATATCTAGTTCTATTCGCATATACATATGTGAGTATTTACCAATTTAACCTACTACCTCAGTCAATAGTTATATATAAGTTTTTGCGAATTTAATTTTTGCCTGAGTCAATAGGTAAGTAACCTGGCGAACAAACAAACATGAAACGAGTAGAGTTGAGTAAGTTGGGGTTGCCTTGCTTTGTATTAATTTTTTGATGTGAGCCATATGTGCACATTATGCTATGACTCATCAAGGTAGCAGAAAAGAGGTTTCTTGAATCTTAGCTGATGAAGATCCTATTAGAGGTTGTATTCTTGTTATGAAACTGACACTCCCTTGGTGATTTCAATAGGAAGCCCAGAACCAATGGATAATTTTCATTTGGTTAGGTGCTCCTGCTTCCGAGACTCCTCCAGTAACCAGGCTTGGTATATGTAACATACATCCCATGGTAGCTTGATGTATGCATTGCAAATTTTTCTTTATGTGTTTAAAAAGGCTAAAAGTACAGCTACATGTTTTATTGAGTAGGCAAGAAATAATGGTGGTAGTTGGTTTTTCTATGACAAGCTCCAAGATTAGACTTGTGCGTTTGGGGGTATTTTGTCTCCAATAAATGTCACTGGACTCGAGGAGTGATGCCGTCTAGCCAAACAAATTCCTAGCACGATAATTGTTGGAAGACCGAAGGAACCACTGGAAATGGCTAAAAAGCAGTCTTAATACATCAAAAGGAGAAAAAATCCCTGACTTTTTGGCAGCACATCCACTTCTTGATGATTCAACCCTCCTTTATGATCTCCCAGATGATCAAGCCTTATGTGTCGAAGAACCATATGAGTAGGAAATGTACTTTGATGGGGCTTATCAAGAGGGGCAAGGAGGAGCCGGATTGCTTGTCCATACCCCTCCGAATGGCATCATGTCTCTATCCATTTCTTTTGATAGTGTTGCCTCACATAATGATGAGGCTGAATATCAAACACTCGTAATTAACCTTGAAATCACTGCAGGACTTGATGTCCCCTGCATGGCTATTTTTTGGGATTATGAGCTCGTGATTTGCCAATTGAAGGGAACGTGTGAAGTTCAAAAGAATACCCTTTTTCCCTACCATGACTCTGTAGAACCTTCTGACTGTTTTTGAGGATTTCACCTTAACTCATCTCCCCGGCAGGTTGAACCGTCAGGCAGATGTGCTTGCCAAATTGAGAGCCTCACTTGCACTTTCGATTGGTAGGCTCATTCCGGTATAGGTCGTGCAATAGCGATATGTTCGTCCTAAGAAATGTATCGAATATGATGATGAAAGGTACATATTCCCTAAGTGCTCACCATACCCATACCATGGGGCACACTAATGTTGGCAAAGCAAGCTCATAGAGATGAAAAGGAAGCTCAATTGAAGCAACAAGCCGAGGCTCATGTATGCTGGGAATCACTAGCGATTGGGGCCGTGACCTTTTGGGATATAGTCAATACGGCCGGCTCCACACTACCCATGGGTCCTGAGATCGTTATGAAGCGGGCTCTGCCGTATACATTTATAAATGGGGTGTCATTCAGAATGTCTTTTGACAGCGTTCTGCTACACTCTGTATCTCGTAATGAGGCTGAGCATGTTATGAAAGAGGGACACTATGGGGTATGCGGCTTACGTGAGGGCATCAATGGCTTAAAAAGACTGTCCAATAGCGTCATGACCTTAAATTATGCGCCATGGTCCTAGTTACTTGTCCCTAAACTGAACTACTCCGTCTCATCTCGCGATGTTCAACCGCCCGCTAGGGGTTTGGTGAGACCATTTTCAGGGCACCTCCCTCATGATTTGAGGGGCGCTCAAATCAAACTTTTTAAGACGGTGTATGGCATGAATAAAAAGCAGAAAATGTGGCCAGAGGCTTGGAAATGATAGAAACAACACATATAGCATGGAAATATGGCGTACTTCATTAATAGACATGGATGGAACTATTTTGAAAGAACGTTTACTTAGTATAAGATTGACACCTTTTATAAACTTCTATTAATATTCTCCAACATGCAAACTTAAGAGGGCAGCGAATATGGTTTTATCTCAGATTTTCAGTGAGAAAGAAAACACCTTATACAAACCTCACCCTTGTAGAGAAAAGGGGAAAAAAAATACTGAATCAAATTGGTCACCATCCAATAAAATGACTGACAACGAAGGAAAGCCAGTTGGCCTACCGAAACCCGCAATTTTGGGCAACACTCCTTCCACCGAAACCTGCAATTTTGGGCGACACTCATCGTTGAACAAAAGAAAAAAGGAATATGCCAACAACAGTACCTTTGCCACAAATAAACCAAGATTTAAAGGGAAATCCAATCCTCAGCTAAAGGATGACGATAAATATCTGCCTCACATAGTGACATGGCATAACACTCAAGGATGACAGCAAATATCTGCCTGACATAGTCACATGGCATAACACATTCAGTAAAGTATTCGAAAAAGATTTTAAAGGAGTTTCCATGGTATCTCCTGATTTAAGATTCTACAAGTTCAACAATAGAATGCGAAAAAGGAAATCACAGAGATTTCCATGTCTAAATTACAAGCATGCATGTGAACAAAAATGTGTTTCTTCTAATTCTTCCATGATATGCTCAAATAAATGAGCTGATTTTCTCCACTTCGGGTGACTCCAATTATACCCCTCTCTTTCTCTCTCTCTAAACAACCTCAACACTGTCATAGAAACACAGCCCACTCTTCATCACAATTGCTCTCTACTTCAGAAGTCCAAGTTTGATATTGCTGAGGCTCCTCTCTCCCCACAACAATTGAACGCTGATACACAAATCTATTTCTCGCTACTTCCAACTACCACCTCCAAGCTTGATGACATCCTCAGTGCTGCTATCCTTCAGTGCGCGGCCAAAGCCCGCATCACTGCGCTTATCAGTTGCATCCCCATATAAGTCCTTTAACCTTGCGAGGTTGCTTGACATGGGTGCCTTATCTTTTGGGGCTTCTCCAAATGGACTCGAGCGCATATCCGATGGAGCCTGCAGGCTCCGACTCGTACTCCTACTTCTGCTCCTGCTCCTGCTCCTACTCCTTCGAGTCCTCGAATCCCTCTCCCTGTCTCTATCCCTCCCTCGATCCCTTTCTCTCTTTCTATCGCTACCTCTCTCTCTATCTCTATCTCTGTCCCTCTCTCTGTCGGAATCCCTATCCTTCTCTCTATCTCTAATTCTATCCCTGTCTCTCTCTCTATCTCTATCCCTGTCTTGGTCTCGGCTGGTCCTCTCGTAGTCACGCCGGTCACTTTCTCTCTCTAGGTGCCTCGACTTGTACAAGTCTCTATTGTCTCGGTCATCATTCCCATGCCTTCGATCTCGGTCTCGATCGCTTTCATTCCGATCTCGCGGTGGGGGTAACGTTCGGCGAACTGGCGAGGAGTCACGGGTTGAGGCTCGATGTGGGGCGCGTTGACCAAAAGAGACAGAGAGAGCTGCTTTCACAGATGGGGGCCTTCGTGCAGTGTCATCAGAGCCATGGCGGTGTGATTCACCAGTTACCCCCAAGTGCTTTGTGGGGAGCTTGAGCCTCTCCAGGTGGGCCACTATTTGGCGCATGATGGGGACTGGGGTGCGGGGAAAGAGGGTGTCGAAGTAGTACTGCAAAATCAGATGAGGTCAGATAGGCCAAGACATGGGCTCTACAAAGAATGGATCTACTAAAGTTGTTGAAGTCTCTCTCTCTCTCTCTCCTTCCTTATCCAATGGGTAATTGCTCATGGAATATCATACAAGCTACAAGAGATGCACTCGGCAGATCCAACCTCACAGATATTCATCAAACATATGAAAAGTTAAATTAGCCAGGGAAAGCTAGACAGATATTCGTACTCGTTCAGGAGCACAGACAACACCACAGCAAACAGTTGGGATGTTAGGTCACATTTTCTCTATACTAAAATTCCCATTCACAATCATCTTAAACGCATACACATCCATGTAGTCTAGTACCTGGTCAGGCTCACAGTCAAAACAGGCATCAAAAGATCAGTCAATAAGATGGCAGAAGAAAACTGCCAATTTTTAGCAACAAGTGCGCTACAGCTCTGTTACTTACAAACGTGAACTGGGAAGTATTCAAGCAATCCTAATAAAGCCAAAAATGATTGTGAATAAGAATTCTGTTCACTATAGTGGACCTTGGCCATAGATGAGGAAGAAGTCTCTAACATTCTACTATCAAATTTTTTTTTTGAAGAGAAGTAATTTAGAAAATGAGGTGTTCTACTTGATGCATGGGGATCAGCATGCTTCATTTGAAAATGGCATGGGAGAGACATTTGAGAAAGAGGACTAATTTAGAAAAGGGTGCGGTTTGTATAGAGCCGACGCTTTAAACAATCAAATTAGAGCCCACCTTCAAAGCGTGTCGAGAAATGTAGTTTTAATACTGAAAATCTTTGACTAGCCTTAAAACATATTTTTATCTTTAATTATAAAATTTAAAGCTTAAAAAATAGTATACATCGAGCAGATCTATGAAAACTTGAATAACTCAAAAATTGACGGTCCAAAAATGCGTTACAAGATGCACTATTTCCAAAACTTGAAATCCATGTTTTTCTCATTCCATGCATCTTGATGTCCAGATGATCAATTTGAGGATATTTGACTAGGCTCTCTATATGAACTTTTCGCTTTAGAAATGAGGTGTTTAAGCTTGTTGCATGGGGATCATGAAGTTGAAGCTGAAGAGAACTGCTTAGTGGGTAAATTGCAATTTTGGAAGGCATGGTTCTGCAGGAATCGAACATTGGTATCCAGGGTTGTGAGGTGGCACGAGATGTGAGGAAACCTTCAATATTTCTTATCAAATCAAAGCCTCAACAGCAACAGTAAATATTTCTTATCAAATCAAAGCCTCAACAGCAACAGTAAACATTTCTATCAAATCCAATGATTCAACAGCAAAAGTACAACCAATCTTATAGACTGGTGGCTTCTTGTTCTCTTTCAACTGTTGACCTAAATGTGGGCATTTGGGAAAATGAACTATAGGATCTTAGATTCAAGTACAGAACGGTGTGACTCCATATATGATTAATTTGCAGGTTAAGCAAAGGAAACTTTTGTGTTGTTCTTCTGATAAATAACATATCAAGCATTCTATCTGAGCAGCTCTTAAAGGTGTTCTTTCGCCATTTTTTATTTCTAATCAAATCCAAGATTACAATAGCAACAGTGTACTTTTCACATTGGACTTAAATCGGGCATTTGGGAAAAGGACAATATGATATTAGGGTTTGGCATATTTGAGTATAAAACGATGTGACTGGATATATGACCAACTTGCAAGATAAGCAAAGCACACTCTAACTTGTATTTGTATTATAATAAAGACATTATATATGAGTAGCTCTCATAATTGATCTTGGCCAGAGATTTCAAGTAATGACAAATGGGGCAGATACAATATAATCCAATGGAATATGGTATATAGTACTCCAAAGGGATATACCATCTGTTCCTGCTGACAGAAACTAGAGATTAATAGTGCACCCACCTGGGCATTCACCCAGATATAGTTGACCTGTGGATTGGTGGATGGGCCTTTGTAGTAACATAAACCATGCCCATCATATTATGTGATACTTTTCCAGGCAATATTCCATTTCAATGGTGTAATATATTCTATTGTTTCCATACCCAGAATATACGTTCCTAAAGAGACCACTACACTATGCAAAATGAACAAATATAGAACCGCTAGAAGGATCAGATTGCAACATGAAGACATAATAAGAAAAATCGAAAAGGAAGCATCGTCTTAAGACAGTCAAATCAACATTCTATATCATGTAAAGAAAACTGCCTTGTACCATGCTTTGCTTCAATTCAAGATCAACATTACAAACCTTTTACTTAGTTGCAGCAGATAGAGATGTTTCTCCTCTTTCAGTAACCTCCAAAGGGCGACCCATGCACAGGATCTCAAATGAAAAATTTATGAGTGGCAAATCACAGACCAAGACCAGTGGTAGCTTTACTTGCGTATTCACCATAGAGATTTATTAATATTTCCGTCAATTTAAGGGAAGATATACACTATAATCAGGCAGATAGCCTGCCTTTACCAGATGATGAAATTAAACTTAAAATTAACAAAGCCAAAAATGGCAAGCATGAAAAGATATGTACTCACCTGTCCAAGAAGCAGATCACGCACATAGACTCCCATTGTCGTCATTCGACCATTTGACCCCGGAGAAAATTCCTGGAGGATATTGAACCAGTGATCAGATTGTAAACATGTACATCCCTCTACATGTATCAATTAGGAGTGAAGAATCTTAAGTGAAGCACACATCCCTCTACATGCATCAATTAGGAGTGGAGAATCTTAAGTGAAGTCTACACCCCTCTACATGCATCAATTAGGAATGGAGAATCTTAAGTGACGTCTACATCCCTCTACAAGCATCAATTAGGAATGAAGAATCTTAAGAATAAATTTGTCAACATGCCAATTAGGAGTGAATCTGTGTGTGTAAGCATGCGCACATGTGCGGGGTTCAAATATGTAGATGTTTGTATCCAATATTTTCTAAAGATTCTGCTGAATCTTCTCTGCAATCATTCCCACCATTCACTGAAGAAAAGTAGATTCATATCATCATCATCATCCAAGCCTTAACCCATTTATTTGGGGTTGATTACATGAATCATGTTATGCCATTCTGCTCTATCAAGGGTCATACCCTCAATCAAACCATAAATAACAAAAATTCAGGATTCATGAAAAGATGTGGCAGAGTTTTAAGCTGGCTGCCCTACCTACCACAACCCTCCTCCTTTATTTGAGCTTGGGACCGGCATGACCAGCTTGGGACCGGCCATGGTGGAGTTGACAAGTAGATTCATATACTTGCTAACAAATTGCAAAACTATTCAGAGAATTTGTTGAGGAACAGTTATAAAACTTGCATTTTTCCTAAAAGAATTTACAAGCAATAGAAGATCAGTCAAATTTGGCATCAACATGCCACCATAACTCAAAGAAGTAGGCAACATATGACCTTAAAAATGTAATGCCACCAATAAGGATGACGCAAGCAACTGTCTTACTAGAACACCACTTTGAGATGATTGAACAGTACATGTAACAAACTTATTGCAAGCTAACAAGATACCATCCTCAACTTGCTGCCCAATGGTCAAAAAAACGGGGGGAAAAGAAAAAAAGAACTCAAAAGTTCCCAAGTTTTTTACATCAATTACGCAATGATAAGACTGAGTATTGTTTAATCCCAAATTCCACATCAACCAAATTCACATAACCAAACACCATATCTTCTAACAAATGAACAGAGGTTGTCCATTCATATAGTACTCTAACATAGATAACAAATATTCGCTAAAGTTGTAGAATTTGTACTTTTTTGACAGGCATAGAATTTGTAAAATATTGCAAATATTTTAAAGGAACTTGTGGATTAATAGAAACAGTGAACCATTATATAGTTTCCCTATCAATTCAAAATTAAAACGTTGTGTTTAACATATTTCAAGCTCACTTCATATTTATTTTTAAACATCTCTAAAAAATTACCAAGGTCATGGACACACTTGAGAGAAAAAATATGGTCAATATCAAGTTTGAGAAATATGTGTGTGTGAACACAATAAAATCTACAGTAAATTTGGCACAGTGAGATGCATAACAAATTAATCACCCATTTTAAATTTCTTAGGAATTCATTTGCTTCTTCAAAAAGCAAGACATAATCTACCATTCAAGGACATGGCATACAAGTTCATAACAAAACTATGTCAACAAATTGTTTGGCTTCATGAGCTCCTTTGGCACTCTCAAACTGTTGTATGCTCATAACATCAGTGCTACTCCAGTATCCTGGGTGGCAGAAACACACCAAAAACAAGCAAGTGCATTACTACCAAGAGATAACATCTCCCATCAGATATTATTAACCCCCCTCTGCCCCTCATATACCATCCAAATATCGAAGCAAATCTTCTCCTCAAGTAGATGAGGATGGTTAAACTTGTTTACCAATTTGGTATACGATTGGGTATCACTCTTATATTTCAAACTTAAATGGGGTATGATATAACTGCTGTGCCATTGGGGATCACATACAGTGCAAGCTTAATGAGGAGATATTAAATAGATGGTTGTATGTATAAAAGGGCAATATGGTTATGTTGAACCTGAACCTTCAATCTCACTTTTTCAACGAGAGGTTGTTGCAGATACTAGCACAGCAGAACTATTTTAATTTAGTGCAAGGATGTATATGATAGAGATTAAGATTGATTTAGGCAATCATTATATTTCACATCCCATTTAGATGCTTTATATATCAGATTGGTCTTGAATGTACAACTGATTTTTTTAATGATGCCATCAAATAAAAATTCAGATCGCTCCATAACAAAGAAGATTTGATTCATGTGATGTATCAGCTCTGCAATAACTCTTCCAACAAGTATATTTATAGAGGGGGAAGATCATCGTGGAGCTATAAAGAAAGCCTGCAACTCTTAAACTAAATAAATTTATCTTTATAAGAACTAATGGAGAATTGATCCACGTCTCATACATACTGAGTAAGGACAAGGATATTAACAATATCAATAGAATGGGTACCTCTTCATCTTTGACATAGGGCTCAAACCAACCCCATAAGGTCTTTGGCTCTGCAGCATAACGCAGGTAGAGGAAACCAATCTGCATATATCAGCACCTGCAACTTAGAAACTACAATCTAGACAATACACCATCATAATCATATGCATAAAATAGCAATAATATAATTATCGACAAGTAATGTTATACATATTTATACCAATGAAATTGAAAAAAACTGGGCGAGCCAAATTATCAGAAGCACTCACAGCTCTGATGTATGGAGAATCAGGATGCTTCAACAGACCATGCATTTGTTTAACGGTGAGTTTCATGGTGAAAAACTTGTAAAGAAGACAAAATGCTGTAGAAGGGCCTCTACAGTTTCCAGTCATCCAAGGCTCCACATGATCAACTTGATTATATATCTCATCAATAACTTCATGATAGGTCTTCAATCTGTAAAGCTCTTTAAAATAATCAGAAGAAAGAATGTTCATGCAAAGGACCTTTTCTAGCAAAGAATCGATGGGTTTTCCAGATGTTTGAATCTCCATGATCTCTACAGAACCCCTGGTACAAACAGAAACCGAAGAATTTCAGCTGAGAAGTGGCAGGCCAAAATAGCTGATTTATAGAATCAGCTTAAGCCTTCTCACAAAGAAGATACTCAACCACCACTTGTACAGTAATTATCATAGGACATGTCACTATACTGCTTTGCATCTATCACACATTGTAGCACAAGGCACATAGCCACGCATTCTCCATACCTACAACAAAATAATCAGTATATCAATAATGAGGAAGGAAAATTCATTGCCACAGTTCAAACAAATTCTTATAGGACCTGACTTATCCAGTCACAGTAGATAAAATAAAAAGAAAATTTGTTAGCTAGAGAAAAGGAACATTGAATCACCGGTCAATGCTAAAATTGCATAGAAAAAAGGAATATTATCTTTATTTTACTTTTAGAGAAATGCATATAGTGCAATAAGTTTTCTATTATGATGATAATGCCTGTGATCCAAATCATCTCCCTAAGTTAGACTTAATGTTTGCAATGATTAATAGCAATCAATACACATGCTTTCAGACCATGCATTGCCAGCGAAAATTCAAATTCCCAAAAGCATGAGTAAGGGCTATCCCATAGACCATGTTATTTTTATTCTCTACATAACACTCTGTTGACTTAACTGGAAGTAGTACAGCATTACTTGGAAGAAGCAGAACCTGATGCTGCAGATATACTTTGATTAAATACTCCATATAACTTGTTCAGTTAACATAAAAATCTGTAATACTTATTGAGCATGTAGTTGAAGTTTATGGAGGCATAGACATGTACATGGATATCACACATTCATTTGCCCAGTTAAAGAAGGCAACCAATCAAAATTATGGATTTGCTCCGGCCCATACAGTCAGAAAGAATGTAATAACTTCTTGGGGTCCTTGAGGTCCTCAAGTGCACTCCTTGACAGGCACTAATTTACCAAATCTGACAACAACTAGGACATAGTCCACGTTTATTCCTATATGCCTTAGCAAGGCTCTGAAGTCTTGACATAATGTTCATTATGATAATCTCCTTTTAATCAGATATGAAATCCTTCATGAAAATGTGAATTTTCTCTAGCTGGAAAACATTAAAGTAGATCCCCCGGATCTGGCCAGCAATTGGACAAAGGATAGAGTAGAAAGAGCATGAGAACCTCCTTCAAAAAGAGAACATGCATGCATGGCCGGCTTCTTCCACTTAAACTTAGTAGCATTAGCCGTGCTCCGTGGGGTAGTTTAGTGGAATTAAATGAATGAGGAGCTGATGAAAAAAGCTCGCGCAATGCAATGACCAATGGACTGAAAGAGCTGGCAAGCTGCAGGGAATGCATGGAAGGGACGGAAAGAAAGCAAGTTTTTTTACCTATATTAATAACTTCTTTCGCTCAGGGTGGCAACAACCAAGGTGTCCTGGGACCGGGTGTCTTCATGCTGATCATGGATTTCCTCAGTAGACAGTTGGATTATGCAAGGGATGATACCTAGGGCTTTTCCTTCGGGGTGTGATTATGCTGATGATGCTGTGATTTTTTGTGAAGCCTCTATAACTACTACTATTGCTATGAAAGAGGTTCCATCTAATTTTGAGATGGCTACCGGGCAGAAACTCAATTCCATAGGGGTTACAGGGGGCGGGACCCCACTGGAGGAATGAGAGGAACAATCCGACCGAAGGGGAAGAACAATTATCAGATGGCATACCCTTTTCCCTGGTTGGGGTGGCATTTAGAACTAGGGAAAGGGTTTCAGGTTGGATTTCTTTCTTTTCTTTCTTGGAGGGGAGGTCTCGATTGACTAGAAAGAAGGATTGGAATGCTAGTGAGGTGAGGAAGGACGCTGAGTCGACATATTTGGGAATTCTTCCTTAGATGTTTTCAATAGATTCTCGAACCTTCGACAAAAAGAATCTCCATGCATGCGTTCTTTCTCTCCTTTCTTCAGCCACACATCTCTTTCGTTCACCCCTTTTTTTTTGCTTTTGGTCTGTGCGTTTTTCTTTTGTTAGGCATTGAACCCCACTGGTTGGTACTAAGTGGTGTCCTCCCCTCCCAAAACAAGACCTTATATATAGTTCAGTCTATGGAGCCTCAAGCTTCAACCATGGCATGGCAGCAGTAAGTTGGCCCAGTCTCTCGCCCAGCCTTCACCTTCTTCAGTGGCCAAGTTATAGCATTCAACGGTTTTTCTCTTTCTTTATTTTCCATAAAGCACTCTAGCAACAAGCAACCTCTGCCAAGCGAGAAGATGTGTCAAAGCACTCGCGACTATGGCAGAGGTGGCAACTAGCAAAGAAAGCCAGTGGTAGGAAGGTCAAACTATTGTCTTAGAGCCCAGCCCTTTACTGAAAGTCTCCTCTATAAAGTAAAACACCAATCTTTGGAATTCCATCTGATCACAAGGAGAATATCACCCTATACTATCTAAAGGCCTGGTAAAACACAAAAGTAAACTAGAAAACAACTCAAAAGGGCTCGCACAACATTCTCCATAAAAAAGAGTCTCATTCATCCTTGAGTAGTTGGATCATCCAACAAAGATCATCATTGAAGCTGTTTCTAGTCAGATCTTCTACGATTTACAGTCTTGGATTCCCAAGATATCTCCCACCATAGTGTCACTTAAGGTCCTTCAGATTTGGATCCCAAAAAATAACAGTGTCTTAATACCCTAGTCTGAAAGAAATATCATGTAAAAGTTATCATACCTATCACTCATTGAAAACAACATATAGAATACCTAAGAAGTTAAATTATTTCTCTTTGTAATATCTCCAATGAAGCACATCTTCCAGGGGTAAACCGTGCCCTGTGCCTCATGCTTCAAGGTTCCACCACATTTACGTTCACACACCCCCCTACCCCCCCCCCACCACACCCCCTCTTCTTTAGTATTTTCAGGTGCAGAATTCCATGGAAGTGACAACACTGAATACCCTAAATGAAGGAATTATTACTTGGTTTCAGAGGTTTACTTTGTATTCATATATATCATGACAAGAACTCATAAGAAGTTCATTCATAAGATCTGTTACTTTATGGCAACAGAGTAGATCTCTATATGACCCTATAAAAATGAGAGGCATCCTTCAGTTTTAATATAATGGTTCCGTAACAACCTGACTCAAGAAAATGCGTTAGGCTCATGAAGCAAATGGTGTGTCCTTGCAAAGACAGGGACTAATGCTCTAAAATTGAAATTCACATTTGGATTTCACCACTAAGAAAAAAAGATATTCAGTGTAACAACATTCATATAAAGGCCATGAATGAGAACATTTAGATACCACCAAATCATAGAAATTCAAATACAAACTTTATAAATTTATTTACCAGCGTAAAACAAATTCTTGAGAACAAACATAAAAATTCATATTTTCTATTACTCTCCAGTCTTCAAATTTTGACTCTCATTAGTAGCCTTTTTGGATAAGTTCAATGTTCAGGGTTATAACCTGCATTTCTTTCAGGTAAAAACAATAACCTTCTAAAAACTAATGAAATGATTAGTGATGCAAACAGAAGAACCAAACTAGGTTGCAGTCATGAAGTAATATAATTTCAAATTAAATTCCAAAACAAATAAAATGCATGTGCTCTGAACCAAAACAAGCCAAAATCAAATTTCACTTCACATACCAATCAAATACAAAGATAAGCAAAAAAATATATTCAGATTATAACAAAGAAGTCAGCAATATATACCATCCAAACCCTAATTATAACCAAAACACTGTCAAGACCTCAAACCTACACCTAAACAAAACATCTGAATCCTAAGATAAGTTCAGAGAACCAAAAAATAACACCCTAATTCTGACACAGATATCCAGGAAGAGGGAGAAAGAACATCAACAAAACCAGGCAAATGAAGAGGGCAAAAGAGACAAGCAGCAAAAATGATGTTCATACCCTAAAATACCCATGACACAGATGTTTCAAAGGAGAGAGAGCTACCTGCAATGGATCACGCGCGAGGTGAATCTGAGAGACAGAGAGAGAGAGAGAGAGATGAATCTCAAAGGGATATAGAGAGAGAGGCGTGAGGGCTTTTACCGCTCCGCGAACGAAAAGAAAGAGAAACAATTTTGCAATGACTTTCGCCTAACAGTACTTGTAGGAATATAAAGGACATAAATACCCTTAACTACTGCTTAAAGACGATTCACCCATGGCATTCAAACTAAAAAGAATATGAGACGAGTAATGATCCAATGGGGGACCCTACCACCTTGTGGCATGGGACTCTTAAAGATCACCGTTAGATCTACATTCCGGTCTTGGGATCACTAAATGGTTTCACCGGCTAACTCCTTTTTAAAATCGGCCATGGAGGGTTTCGTCTTTCTTCTCCCTCTCTCCCATTTTGCTCAATATTTCTAATTTCCTCATATCCAAGTCTCCTCGAGATAATTTTGGAGGACAAATTGTTTTGGGTACGATGTTGCGAAAAACACCTCTTTCTCTCTCGCAAGGTCACAAGGTCTCAAAGAACGGTTGAAGAACAAAAAACAGGTATGCTATATCTCTGTATTTCTCAATCTCTCTATCTATGAATCTCTCTTTGTATTTCTCAATCTCTCTCGTATCTGTATCTCTATAATCACTTTTATTGGGGGTAGGTATTTTTCAATATCTCTATATTTGTATCTTTCTTTCTTGTTTTTATTGAGGGTAGGTATTTCTCAATCTCTCTTTATATTTCTCGATCTCTCTTTAGGGAATTCTAAGGCTTTTTTTTGTAAGGCATCTCTCAATCTCTCTCTTTATCTCATCTTTTTGGGGGGTTGGTATGTCTCAATCTCTCTCTATATATTTGTATCTCTTTATTTCATTTTTATTGGGGGTAGTATTTCTCAATCTCTCTTTGTATTTCTCAATATCTCTCTCTAGAGAATTTTAGAGCTTTTTTTGTGGAGTTTTCATCATCTGATACAAAGAAGAAGGTTAGATATGGTTGGAGAAGAAGATTGTGGTCTATGTGGGTATGGAGGAGGTGAAAGAGGGCACCACTTCTGGTTTTCAATCGATCAAAGATTGCTATAGCAAACCAACAGCCCCAATAAATAGAGTGGAGTCTTGGGCCACCCTATTTTCTCACTCATTTGCTTGTTTAATGGATCATCATTATTTCACATGATTAGAGAGTATTGGAATTTTTTTTCTGTGTGTAAATAGGTGGTTCTGTCTTTTTGGATTGTTTTGTTTTTGTTTTTCATATGCATGGTCATTTATCTCTCTTTTGATAGCTTTCTTAGGTGAAATTTCTGGTTGTCTTTTAGCTCTTATTGTTTCTCTGTTATGTGAGAGATTGTTGTTTTCTTTATCCTTTTCTGATTCTGTTTACTTTTTTATGTTAAAAGGTTTTAAGATATTCAATGTTCTAACTGCAACTTCCTTACCTGTATATCTCTCTCTACTTTTGCTAGGGAGATGTAGAATAAGAACACCCAAAACTTTGGGCGATGTAATTTTGCATAATTGATTAGAATTCTTGTAGAATTTGCATAATTTTAGTATAGGCATGAGTTGTAGATGCTATAGTTGCAAGATCGTTGTATGTTAGGGAATCTATAGAAGGTAATTTAAATTGTTTTGCAATCTCTCTTTCTGGTTGACGTTTTTATGTACCAACTATATTATGGTGTTTTTTGTTTTTTTGTTTCTTGCAGGTCAAAGGGGATAAGGAAATATATAGCTATATAGAAATGTAATACTCAGGTTACATGTTTCTCTTTCGCTCTCTCTACCAGTTTTACATGTCACTTTTTCACTTTCTCTTTTCATATTGGGAAGCTTGAAGTTGACGCATGTTGAGTGGTTTGGTAGAATCGGACTGAAAGTTTGTAAATTCCGTAAATCGTTTTGTTATTTGTTAGATTCATTTTTATCCCTCGTTCTTTCTTACTATTTCTCTACCAATTTTGCTATTTTTTCTAGTGTTTCTTCATACTTGGGTGCTTGAAAACATGTACATTAAATGCATTTGTGGCTGGGTGGAATTGGATTGAGACCTAACACACATATACCTCCAGAAGTCTACTTCTGCATGTGAGACCATAAGGAGCATGTAATAAATTGTCACAGTGGTAGATACGTACGTCACTAAATTAACTGCATTTAAAATGACAACCCACTCTCTCTAATGGCGCATTAGAACTCAGCTACCTGAGATGCAATGACTAACAATAGCTCAAAAATCGTAGGTCTACATGTATTGTTTCTATACATGTTTTTCTAGTTGAATTGATACATGATAGAGTATGACACATGATACATCTTTTGAACTACACATGTTTTTCTAGTTGAATTGATTGAGTTTGCCAATTGTGTCTAAAGTCTAAATATTTCTATTACACTTCATTGTATCATTCTCATTCCATGTTATTGATCCAGAAAGAAACACCAACAATGCTTTACGATTTCCTACTAACCATTGAGGATCATCCCTTATGGTATGGTGCCAATGCGAAAGAAATAGATAGAGCTATCCAGGTTATGAGTGATTCAAAATTGATTAGTGTTGTTGTTCGTGTTGAAGTTCGACCAAAATGACAACATGCACCTATAAAATGTTCACATGCACCAGTGGCATCACATGTAAAAGGGAGCAATAATGATGGCTCTAAGGAGGTTAGTGTTATAAACACTTGCAGTTAGGAAGATGAAAATGGAAGAAGGGGATACCCCAATGCAAATGAAGGAAATATTGGTTGTGAACCATTTGTGGATATGGAATTTTCATATGAAGAAGAAGCAAAATTATTATATAATGAATATGCGAGGTAAATAGGATTTTAGCATGCGCATGAGAAATACAAGAAAAAACACAACATGATGGGGTCGTGCTCTCTTGTAGATTTTTATGTTTAAGAGAAGGATTTCATTAAAAGAAAGTCGATATTGAAAAACCTACTTGGAAGGTACTAAACACAAGAGTTGGGTGCAAAGCAATGATAGAAATATGTAAAAAAGATATTGATAAGTGGAATGTTACATGGTTTGAGAGATACCACAATTATGAATTTGTGAATTCAAGTAAAGCGCGTTGTCTTCAATCTCATCGAGCTGTTTCTGAACGTAAGAAAAGGATTATAGATACTTTTCATAAAGCTGAGATTCCTACTAATAAGATTATGAATGTCTTTAGAGCAGTAGACTATAATTTAGGCTTAATGGATCATGATTGTAGAAATGAGCTTAGGAAGCTTTAAAAAAAAAGCCTTGACGATGATGCTCAATTGCTCTTAAATTATTTAAAGTGCATGCAAAGTGAAAATCCTTCATTCTTTTATGCAAGTGATGTAACTGACAATGACCATTTAACAAATATTTTTTGGGTTGATGCTAGGTCAAGGAATGCATATAAATGTTTGGGGATGTGGTGATTTTTGATACAACCTATATGACTAATAAGTTTAAAATACCTTGCCCTTTTTACTGGAATCAACCACCATACAAATTCCAATTTATTTGGGTGTGCATTTTTAGGAGATGAAACTAAATCGTCATTTGTTTGGCTATTTGAGACATGGCTTTGAGCAATGCATGACACACATCCCATTACAATAATTATCGACCAAGACAAAGCCATGCAAGGAGCTATTGCTCGTGTATTCGCGAACACTGTCCACAGATTTTGCAAATGGCACATTTTAAAAAAGGTCAATGAGAAGTTGGGTACCACTTGTGCATTGTATTAATTGGACCGAAACAATTGAAGAGTTCGAGAGTTTATGGGGATTGATTATTGATAAGTATGAGCTAAAGGAAATAGCTGGTTAGCGACATCAATGGATACTAGTCTACTTGCGTGGTGCATTATTTGCAAATTGCTCTACTACCCAGCGAAGTGAAAGTATGAACTATTTTTTCATGGATTTTTGAACTCTCAAACTACCCTGCAAGAATTTGTTCTTAAATATGAAGAAGCTATTGATCACCGATACAACGATGAATCCTATTTAGATCATCTCACTTCTTATTATGCACCAACTTTGAATACAAGCCTACCTATGAAGAAGCAAGCAGCAAATGCTTATACCAGGACAATGTTCCTTAAGTTTCAAAAGGAACTGGATGAAGTGATATGTATTGTGGTAAATAAAATTGAGGAGGATTGGTCAATCAACACATACAAAGTTGACCACATATGAAAAAAATAGCAAAGAATAAATAATTATATTTGATGTCTCCAAAACCGAAGCAACTTGTAACTGTAAATTGTTTGAGTTTTCCGGGTACCTTTGTAGACATATGTTAGCCGTTGTGCATCGTGAGCATGTTCAAGAAATCCCATCCCAATACATTTTGAGGCGATGGACAAGGAATGCCAAGAAATGGGTTTTATTAAATGAGCATAAAAAAAGAGTGATGGGAAATTTCATGGATTCTCTGTTCTCATGATTCAACTATTTAAGTCGTGAAGCAATTAACATTACAGACATTGAGGCAAAATCTACACGTGTTTTTGAAGTGGTGTTGTTGGGATTTTAAGAATTGAAGCAAAGAGCTATCCATGAGGAAAGTATTGAAAATACAACATAAGTTTGCACTATGGGCAATGAAAGTAACATGGGAGTAGCTACGACAACAAGTGAAATAAATCTAGATTGTTTAACAAGTGATATTATATTGCAACAAAGGGCCGCCCTTCAACCATAAGAATTAAAACACCATCAGAAAAGAAGCCGCGGAAGCTGGTTACATGTCATATATGCAACAAAGTGGGATATAATTCACACACTTGTTCATTGTCAAAAAGTAGTGATTCACAACTTGCAGGGGTAAAATATTGATTATGTTGTAAATATTGATTATCTTATACTTTCTTTATCTACTTTTTTCTTACTCTCACCACTTGTATGACAAGTTATTTTGTCATTGGATATTCTAGATTGGATCGAAATCATTGACAAGAAGCACTTAACCAAGTTTCAAATAGTGAATAAACAAAAATAGTAAACCATATCCAAAATCATTCATTCCATATAGAAATAGCAGAAAACAAATTGTGCAAGCAGGGCAATAAAGTGCCATCTTATTCAATAAGAGCAAAATAATATTCCATTGACAA